GTGATTACATTTTTAAAATGGTTGTGAAATGCGTACAACATAAAATTCACTGTCCTAACGCTTTTTAAGTGTATACAGCCCAGTGATTCATCACCACTGCCACCATCCATCTCCAGAACTCTCTTCATCTTGCAAAACTGAAAGTTTATACCCATTAAACACCAACTCCCCCCACCCCCCCGGCTCTTGTCAACCACCATTCTACTTTCTGTTTCCATTTCACGACTTTAGATAACTCGCATAAGTGGAATCATGTAGTATTTATTTTTCATGACTGGCCTAGTTCACTTAGCTTAATGTCTTCAAGATGCATCCACTTCATCCACATTGGAGCATATGTGTCAGAATTTCTTCTTATTAATAGAGATTTTGCTATAGGGCACATGCACTTGCCAGAGAAACAGAGAAAGACAGAGAAACAGGAAGTGAGAAACCACCCCCCAAAGGGGATGGTCATGCCACAATCCTTCTCCTCCATCATCCTCTAGGGATTTTGGGCACGCACACACACACATGTGCCTGGCATGAGTTTGAAGTGACAGGGTCCAGGACTCGAACCGCAGTTGGCTATGTAGGAGTCCAGTGACATAACCATTATGCCATTTGCTGGTCCCAGAATTTGTTTTCTTTTTAAGGACAGGTAATATTCCAGTGTGCATATACACTACATTTTATTTATCCATTCCTCTATTGAGGGACACACGGTTGCTTCCACCTTTTGGCTGTTGTGAATAATGCTGCCATGAACACGGTGTGCAGTTATCTCTTTGAGACCTTGCTTTCAATTCTGCTGAGTATATACTAGTGATTCGACTTTAATGCAGTCTCAGATATGGAAGGAGAAATATGCCCATAGTATTCCAGAGAACTGAGCATCAGTCTCTGAATACCTCTAGAGAGAGATGCTCACTAGCTCAAAAGTTAGTATAGCCGGGAACCAGCAGTTAGCGTAATGGCTATGTCGCTGGACTCCCACATAGTCAACCGCGGTTCGTGTCCCGGACCCGGTGGCTTAAAACTCACGCCGGGCGCGTGTGCGTGCGTGCCCAAGATCCCGAGAGGAGAATGGAGGAGAAGGGATTGCGGTGTGACCATCCCCCCTGGGGGGTGATTTCTCGCTTTCTGTCTCTATGTCTCTCTCTGTCTGTCTGGCGAGCGCACGCGCCCTACAGTGAAAATCTCTAAAAAAAAAAAATGTTAGTATAGCCACATTGTCAGAGAGCAGAAGTCTTAAGAGTCAGAACTGGGTGGACGAGCAGTTAACGTAATGGTTATGTCACTGAACTCCCATGTAGTTGACCACGGTTCGACTCCCGGACCCGGTGACTTAAATTCACGCTGGGTGCATGTGCGTGCGTGCCCAAGATCCCGAGAGGAGAACGGAGGAGAAGGAATTGCAGTGTGGCCATTCCCCGGGGGGGTGATTTCTCACTTTCTAGCTCTCTATCTCTCTCTGTCTTCCTGGGGAGCGCAAGCGCCCTATAGCAAAAACCTCTCAAAAAACAAACAAACAAACAAACAAGAAAACAAAAACAAAAACAAAAAACTAAGAGTCAGAACTGGGTGCAAATTCCTGCTCCATTCCTTATTTGCATGACCTAGGGGAAAGCCAGCAATTTCTTTAGGTCTCAGTTTCTACGTCCATAAAGTGCAGATAAACAGATCTATCCTATTGGATTGCTATAAAGATCAGTTTATTAACATACCTAGCTCAATGTGTGACTTGCGTGCTGGGTAAGTTTGCTTTTCAACAGTTTGAGTAGTTGACATGTAAATATTTTCTCAAAAATATTTTAAACCATGTTGTCTCTGTTGTTATAGAGTCACAAAATTATAACAAATATTTCTAACATTATCTTTAAAATTCTGTTTTTTGAAATTTTGAAAGTTGTTTACTAACTGTCAAGAACTATGGCATATGAGCAAAAATTTTTTGATATGTAAAGTAAATGTGGGAAAATGTAAAAATAAATAAATAAATGATTAACATTCTTAGTACATAGAATATGCTCAAAAAAAGAGGGTATGTATAATGAACTATTGTTGATGAGAAGGGTCTAATGATAAGCTGAAAGTAGTTTACTTATAATGTCTATGTATTACTTTAATTTCTGGAATTGAAAGGGACTATATCTAATCCATCTCACGTAGGATGATGCTTCAGGTATTTTTAAGAGATTTACATTGGGAATTTGTCCTTGTGAGAAAGGAAGACTATTGTTCTTGGCGTCTGTCTGTGGGCACACAGGCAAGATACCCCTTCTACATTTAGAAAGCTCACGTATTTGCTAGGGGGCCACTTCGATTTTTACTTCTCCAGAGGTAGAAAGCAAAAGTTTTCGTTTTCCCAGAAAACTTTTCCTCTAATTCAATGAAAGAAAATTTCATGCCTTTTTACAAAGTTACCCATATAGAAAAAGGCATACTTGCCTAGGAAATTACTTATCTGCAGACCATGTTCAAATTATTTTAAAAAATTTTTTTCTGATAAAAAAAAAATCCCTCTTCTGAACTGATAGTCTCTTGAAAGGGAGTTTTCTTTTTGAGGGGTACATATTTTTATTATCTACACCTATTATATTTAATACGTTGAATGGTTCCAGAAGTAGTAAGTTTATTTTTCATTTCTTACATGACTCAGAGAGAGAAAAAAAGACCACGTGCTTGCATGTGCATGCACACACACACACACACACACACACACTCACACATGCAGACACCCCAACAGGGTCTTCACAGCACCATCTGCCCCCTTGTCAGTCATCCCAGATCATGGGCACATGTGCGTGTACCCAGTGTGCACAGGGAAGCCCCAGCATGTGAATCTGGAACCTTCCCCTGTGGGCCCAGTTGCATTACTCATGTGCCATCATTTAGTCTAAGTAGTTCCTTTAAAAAAATAGTTAATATATATACCTTAAAATGAAGATATTTATGGCACATAAAGTTTAACCTCAGCAGATTATTTTTTAGAAGAAAAATGTCAACTCCATTAGCACAGTTTCTCATACACAACTGGGAATGGCTTTGTTCAAGCCAAATGTGGCAGGTGTCATGGTGGTACGAAACATTAAAGCTGTTGTCTCCACAATGCCAAATATTTAACGGAAACCAAAAAAATTCAGTTACAGATGCCAATATCGGGGCCACATGACATCATCCATCCAGATGCGTGGTGAATCTGGATTTTTAAGAATTGAATTTTTGTGGTCAGCATCATGAAGACTCAGTTTCTGGATTAAATCAGGCATTTGTGAAACAAAGCCATTTTGGAATATAACACATTTTGATTATAGAGAAATAAATGGACTGGAACGCAGGGTACAATTTCAGCGATGTGAATCACAGCTTGTAGAAAAAACACAATGTAAAATACAAACGGGACATTTCAAAGCTGTATTTTTAAAGGTTCTTAATGAAGCAACTTAAGCACACCCCAATGCTCTGAGGAAAGTGATTGTCCAACAGAGAGCCACTGTCCCTAGTTCTCCCACTCTCTATGGACTTGAATACATATGCCCAAAGTACAAAATTAAATTATGTTTTTTTTTTTTTTTTTTTTTTTTTTTTTTTTTTTTTTTTTTTTTTTTTTTTTTTTTTAATGCACCTAAAGTAATACGCAACTTCAAATTCACCAGGAAAGCATTCGAGTCTTTGAAAGTATGGTGAAACAAGCAAATTACTGGAAGAATTTTATGGGAGGTATGCAGTAGGAGACGTTAATCCCAGACGCCATGAGCAAGCGATTTAAGAAAGAAACAACACAAGTGGGAAATTCAAGAGTTAACCCGCTCCCGCCCCTGGGAGCTCCCCCTCTCCTCCCACTGCCTCCAGAGCTGATGCTGTACTTTCTGTGACCCTGCTTCGGTGTAAGGAAGGCTTCAGATGCAATGCAGTTCAACCTGTGCTGTCGACATAGCCATAAACTAACGCCCTTTACAGACGGAGCGAGTGGGCCCAGGACAGCCAATCCATCCTGTTCATAAGCACCTGGCCACAGTTCCACAAACAGATACATGAAGGCATCTAATTTATGTGGCTGACACACCCAGGTATATGCAGAAATTGCTCAGAGAATTTTTCAAACACCGTACTAAGAACCTGATGGAGACAATTCTTTCCTTACGTCAAATATGAAGATATATGGTCACTTTCGAATTAGGAAATCAGAGTAATTTCTATCAAACTTGGATCTAGTTCTGTTTCACAGACCCCCTACGTACTTCCACATGTACTGCTTTGAGCTTACAAGGTCTTCCATTGTTCCTCAGTTCATCACAGCCATTCCCAAACTTTTCACACAGATGTCTTCTCCTTGACCTACACTAGCACAAACACGACTACTGACAGACAAGCTCTAGACGGTCTTCTTCTCTCAGACCTACCTCAGCCATGACACTATATTCACATGTGGCTCCTCCTGCCCCCAGCACCTTGCCCTTCCTGGCCAGCGTCCACACTAACAAACACCTATGTCTGGACCCACACCATCAACTTAAAAGGCTCATAAACCCTTCTTCCCCTCTTTCTTTTAGAAAGCTTGCCAGGTTCTTGGGGAGTCTGTAAGGAAGACAGGGAAGCGACCAGTCCCCTCATTCTCAGCATGTACTCAGCAGCTGCCAGCAACCTGAGCTTCCTTTCCAGGTTCTGTAGGGGTCCACTTCTGTCTGCTAGCATTTACAGAGCCATGAGCTCCTGGAAGGAGGAACACACACTGTCTAGCACTGGGACACTGTTCTTGCCATAGCAAAAGCAGTACTGGCACAGAAACCTTCTTCTTCTTCCCCCTCAATACAAGAAGCAAAAATTGCAGGCAACATTTTCTATGATTTCTGACAACACACAGAAATGTGGCTGGAGGGCTGGGACAGGACGGGTAGGAGGCAAGGAGGCTGAACAGGGGATGGGAACTGTGGCCTGTTGTGCCAAAAGACAAGTTAAAATGCACCTGATGAATAATATAAGCTGCACCACATACAGAAAAGATGAGAGCGGCCCACCTGTGTCTGTTGAGGGATATTTACAAAGCTTGGATCCCGTGGTCCAACACTGACGAATCGGTTTGCGGGGGAGGTGCTGGGTGTCGAGTAGGCTGTGAAGGGAAGGGACACATGCGTTCAGGAAGCAGCACGAGATTGCACACACAAACAACACCAAAACACACAGTCTCTGAGCCTACACAGCTGATTAACAAGGAAATGTGCAAACACTGTAGCTAGCAAAGGGATCTGGCTAGCAAGGGCATTTTAGACAGTCAAAAGGGGTGAGGGTGGCAGGGGGGAGTGGGGATTGGCTTCCAAAGACTTTTGGGATAAAAGGTGTCAAATTTGTGCTCAGAGGAGCTTCTTTCTCTTTCCATCATACATATTAGAACATGCAAGACATTTGCAAAGGATACTTTTTGAGTTAAACATGAGCTCTGGGGTCAGAAAGAGGTATCCTCATCTTTAGAGCACAGGGAGAAAGAAATCAGGTAGGAAGGGAAGGAACCTTGTTTTTCACACTGTTAACGCTCCTAAAAATCCTGACATGGTCTTCTACCTCCTGGGCTAGAGAATGAAGAGGAAAGTCTTGATAGAAGGAATTATTGCAATCTCCAGGAAGGAAGTGGGAAACCATTTAGTACAAGCTGTTTTTCTAGACCCAGCAGAATATCTAGAATTTTGAGAAAGCACCAAATGTACTTAAAATATTAACATTTGTAGTTTTCTCTTCTTTGAATCCTTCTGTTCAGATACAAACCGTCAAGACCCTGGAACCTCAGGTGCCATACTTTCTTTTTCACAGTACATGAAAGCTTTCGTTACTGGTTTTTATGTTTATATTAAAAAGTTTGACTTTCCTTCAGCAAGACAAAATTTGGTAGCTTCAGTGTTTCAGGAATCCAGGTAGACATTTTGTTTTTCTGGTGTCCTGCAATTTGTTTCTCTACCACAAACTCCAAGGACGTATTCACATTCTTTCTTTGTACCTGTCATCTTTAGACTATGGCTTTAAACAATTTCAAATTTCTTAATGATAATTATAAAAGGCTTGTCTGTTTTTAGACTAAATATAGACATCTGTCATCGAAAAGGCAAACATTATTTGCAATTTTAAAAAAATGTCATTTGAAGGAATGATACCAGATTCTAGTAAAAAATTTTTCCTTATTTACATCATCTGCTTCTCGAATTCTGATTTTCTGTTTTACAGAAAACTGCTCATCCTTCCTGCTTTCCTTGTTAAACACATGTAGGAATATTTCCACCAATCTAGTCCCAGTTTTGTTGGTTGTCACTGGTAAGAGCTAAGCCACCCAACCGGATCTGCACCTGTCTCAGGGATGTGGCTACGCTGTGTTAAAACCACCACTGAATGAAGGATGAGCATTTGTTTCTTCTGGTCTATCTTAATAGAAAAACTTTTGTTGTATTTACTTTAGGAGGATTGATCCAGCTATGACTTTATATAAAATGATCTAAATGTATGATGCATCTTATTGCCTTATGCAAATCTGCTGATTTCCTCCTGGGCCCATCCTACCTCAGACTAATTTGAACAGAATTAAGAGATATCTCTGCATTTAGCCATTCTAAGCGTAACCCTCACTCATTGGTATGGAGGAAATTCAGTTTTTTAAAAAGCTCGGTAAAATATTCTTCGTTACTTATGTCATTGAACCAATGGCTTTACTGCGCTATGCTTTAAGAAATGTCAACAGAAAGACATATATTAAAAATGAGGGACTATAATTATCTGGTAGTGTATTCACCTGCTCCTAATACAAAGAGGCTATGGGAGAGATAAGAAGGAAGTATAGGTGAAATAACTTGTTGAACCTGTTAGTGGTTAAGGTAAAAGGTATTTTTTTTCACACATGAATAGGTAGGAAGGCTGAGAAGGAACAATAAAGAATGAAGGGTATGTTAAGGTACTAAGGCTAAGTGATTGACGGCAGACGCTGAAACGTGAGACCTTGGCTTGATGGTCCTAGCACAGTGTGTACTGGCCTGTTGCTCACTGGAGACATGTAACAGGACTTCCTACAACATTTTATCCTACTGGTAAACAAGCATGCTAATTGATCCCAGCACACTTACATTTTGGAGGGGCTATTTTTGTGAAGTTAGTTCTCCTTTGACCATAGCAATATTACTAAATATGGAATGGTATTTGTATAACACCACATTATCTAGCTGTAATCTAAATTTCACCATTTGAAAGATGGTTTGCAATACAAATAATTTAGCTACTCAACATTTTGACAGGGCTAATTATCAAATAGTTTCCCTTCTTCAATCGCGACTTGCAATCTTAGTTTTAGAACATCCCAGGAGGCCGCAAATGCTATAAAGGACCACTTAAACTGTTCCAAAGTTTATTCTGGTTTTTTAAAAAGACAGCAATGGAGAGAGAGGTGGTAGTAAAAAGATACTACAATTACAAATACCTAGCAATCTTTGGATACCCAACTTAGAGAATGGTACAAATTGTCCTCAGGGAAATTTAATCTATGGAAAGTTACCTTCTGGGAAAAATCAAGGACACAGGAAAAACAAAGGAAGGAAGAAAGAAACTCTGACTCATCATCTTCCATTATTATAGTTACACCAGGCAGAATGATCACCTATGACAGGATGTAGTTCCAGAAATAATAAAACGTAAGTTGAATTTGATTTTCCCAAAGAAACTAGAATAAGGGAATACACCTCAATTTAAACTTTTTATTAAACAACCATATATACCATAGTGAATCAATTACACATGCACAGTTAAGAGCGCTCAACATGAATATAAAATCAAGGGAAGGGAGCGATGTGGTAATTAGTTATATACAACTGTGTTTACCACGATATTTTATCACATTCATATCTTTCTTAATTATACTTCTTGTCTTATTTGCAACAGCAATAATCAAATGCTTTAGGAAGAGCTTCAGGAAATCATAAAATCTATAAAATCATTTTTGGGGGTGATTACTAGAGGCAGTTCTGAGAATTCTGGATGCAAGATTCTGTGGTATGTGACAACTTTTTGATAATATCAACAGGGAAACCAAAACTATCTCAACAGGGAAACCAGTGAGGTTATATAACCTCATTGTAAAAGTCCACATGGACGATATGACTATTAGAAATCAAATTATTGATTCATTGGCTACTTTTGAAGTGGAAAATGTTTGCTGTTTTTAGCAGCCATTTCACTTCCATTAGTAAGTTTTTTATAATTATAATTTGAGGTTCCTTATTAAGAATTATGTACTTATTTTATTCCATTTGGTATTATTATTTTTTAATTTGACCAGAGAGAAAAAGGGAAAGCAAGAAAGCAAGAAGCTAGGTCTGGGGCTCAAACCATAGTCGACTATGTGGGAGTCCAGTGCCTTAACAACCATGCCTCCTGCCAGCCTCCCATTAATAGTATTACTAGGGATCATAATCCTAACATCATGGAGGAAGACTTCTATAAGAAGTTTTGTCAACACTTATTTGCACCAATTTGATCATATTTTTCTCTCTCCAATGTTTTGCTTCATATTACCCAAGAGTCTTAGTTTGTTCTTCATCACAGCAGTAACTACAACAATCCTAGACCAGAATTGGACCCCACATCCAGAAAATAGTAATCTTTTGTGACCCACTTTGTTATGCATTGTTAATTCTATAATCCTTCACATTGGCAATATGAATCCTGCTTCAGTAAGATCAGTTGGGATAATATTTCAAGAATAGTTCTGTCTTTATAAGTGTTTTACAAGGTCCTGAAGATGATGGAATCTAGAGGTACTATGGGTGGATACAAGGGAGAGAAGGGAGAGAAAGAGTAAGGGAGGTCCCATCAACACTGCTCTTCACAATTCTGCAGGTGTCCCTGGGAGAACTTAGCCTCTCCAATCTCAGTAATGAATGTGTCTGACTTCCTGATAGCCAAATATTGATAGAATTCCAATTTTTGTTGTTCTCAGAGTGTCAGTTTCTATATTTATTTATTTATACTTATTTTTCTCTATATTTTTCTGAATAAGAAGGAATAAGGGATGTGTCAAGATAAAGAAATCATGACATTTCTCCAAGAATTAGTGCTGAATTTATAACAGTCTTTACTCAACAACTCTATCCAAGCATGGTGTTAAGAACATAGTCAAAGATTTGATTATTAAACACTGTACACATGCCTTAGAAAACCATACTGTAGCCCAGAAAGGTATACATCAACTATATGTAAACTAGAAACCACAATTAAGAAAATATTTTTTAAAAAAGAATGTGTTAAATTGTTGTGAATGAAGATGCTCAGCATTTTACTGTTGTAGGAAAAAAAAAAGACAAAGGAAGATATTAAAATATTTGTACCAATGTCCCATACTAAAACCCATGTTAATAAAATCTGCCAAATCCGACTAACCAGAAAAGGTGAGTATGCATTGCTTATTTTGAAAGTTGGCAAATTCCAGGTATAGTTCATATTTACTAACTACTAAAATATGTATAATCACAGAAAGGCAGAAAAAATGGAAAATTTAGATAGATTTCTGTGCAGAGGAGAAATCTGAAAGGAGAGCTGCTCTTAGATTGAAGACCTCTTCATATGCTCTCAAGGCTGGAAGGCCAGTCACCTGAGGCTGAATGGCTGCTGGCCAGCTCCTTTGGCTCTGGCCAAGGGGAAAATGAACACAGTGAAGTGTCCTACCATAGAAAAGATAGTATAGAAGACCCAAGTGGGCGTTGAGGGTCTGAATTTACTTTCAGACACAGGAAGCGATGAAGTTCCTCAAAATCTAATACCTGGCCTACAAACTGATACAAAGCTTGAAGAGAGATGTGTCTTCTGTTTTGTCAAAGACTTGAACTACATGAAAATAGTAAACATTCTCCACCCCCCTTTCTAAATTCCATTCAAGTCCAAGTCTAACTTTTGGAGGACACCAAAGAGAGTTATTTTGATATATCCATATCCTCTTTCTCTGCCTTGTGCTCTCTCTCTCTCATTCTCACTCTTTCTCTCATTTTCTCTCCCAAAGACACTTATTTCAACACTTCATATGTGCCAAGCTCTGCAAAGGTGAGTAAGGCACATGCTAAACTTGAAATGTTAGTCTAATGTGGAGAG